TTAAATGATAGCCATAATAATAGCATACGAAAACGTGAGAAACATTTTTGTTCAACTCAAAATCTTACAAAATCCATTTTCTGACTTCCACCTAACTTGTTCCGCCACCAACTCTATTTTTATTTCCCCAACTAACATTCTTCAAGGACATTCTCTTTTTCTCACCTTCCATTCTTCTCCCTTCGGCACTAAAAAACAATCCCTTTTTAGAGAGAATGTTCCCTTCCCCCCACTCACATCAATATCTCTATTTAAATGCTTCCATTCCACCAGCATCCACCCACGTTTTCCTCTGACTCTGACGACGACTTCAAAAGAAGCGTGCTTTCCAGTCTTCAAAAAATGTCTGACTTGGAACAACACTCTTCTTGTTGTGATAATTCCTCTGTGGACTCTACAGGTATTTCAAGATTCTAACTTTGCTCTTCATTTTCTTCCTCTTAATCATGAATTTGCTTCTTCTTTGACGGGTCAATAACAACTTTAAATGCATTTAACTTCTTTGTTGTTGTAGAAAATGCAAACAGTAGAGTCGATTCTGAAGCTGATTTCTCAGAAGATGAGGAAACTCTCATAATCAGGATGTTTAACTTAGTTGGAGAAAGGTAAATCTTCTTCTAACTGATTTTTCGTTTTTAATTCATCTAATGATGATGGGCTATAAGGGTGTAATTCTTTTCTTCTCTTAAATCTCTCCTCACACTACTTAAGATTTTAAAATTTTAAACTTTTAACCATTGAGTCACCATTTTTTCATCTGAAAGTGATTTCTTCACTGTTGTATACACAATGTTTAATAACTAAGTAGGCATGCTTAACTATGCTAAAAGAAGTTGCATTGTATTGTAATATTAGATGGTCTTTGATTGCTGGGAGAATTCCTGGGAGAACAGCTGAGGAGATTGAGAAGTATTGGAACACAAGATATTCGACAAGCCAATGAGCATTTGAAACTTAAATCTATCGCTGTTTTAGCTAGCTAGCTACTATGCAAAAAGAAAGACTTAACTAGAAGGTTTGTAGTAGTTTTTATCAAGATTTCGCTATGGACTTGGGTATTGTGTTACAGAGATGGATCATCTCTGTTATGTTTAATCTTTTGTTACTATAACAAATATTCTATATTTCAAGGCAAAATGTTCACGAGTTAAAAGCATAACCAATATTCATGCGATATATACATTTTTCCTTTTAGGACCAAGGAAGTTCTACTACACAAATTACAGAAAATTGCGATTTAAACTGATGTCATTGTTATATGACAAATGATTGATTACAACTAAGTTATTAGGATAATTGGTCATGATATTTGCATTTCTAATTATCTCTTAGTTGGTTGAACCATGGGGAGAAGACCATCATGTTTGTGGCATGGAATGGTAACACAATATTACCATTCTGATTCTAATCAAGTGCCTCTTGAACTCAAACAACCTGAAAATTGAGAGTGAAAATGTTGATGAGAAGATCAAGAATGTTCTTGGCATGAAATGCTAACCCAACCATTCATAATAATTGTCTCAATCCAACAGCGCAATTTGAAAGTAATACTTTTTTTTGGCAATAATATATAGAAAAATTAAAACTTTTTTAGGACTCATTTCTATAACTAAATAAGTTTTGGGATTTATTGTTTGAACTGACAAACCTTATTAAACCCTCCCGCTTGTTCTGCTGCCTAACAAATTTAGTTTCACTAATCACTAAAAAGATCAGGCCTGACAGCCCAACCAAGACACTATTTTTTAGCCCAATCTTTGAAAGAACTTTTCAGCTCATTAAAAGCCCAATTTTATCAACAGCTTTAACCCCCCCCTTTTTTTTGGACTGGACCGCAACTCAAGGTCCACACCACAAAGATAAGAACCGCAGCGCAATTAATTCATTATTAAAAAAAAAAAAAATAGCTTAGTCGCAGGTGGGAATAGTCCTTGTTATTTAACTAAATATACTAGTAAAAAATTTATTATTAAATTAAATAATTTAAATACGAGATAACAATATTAATTACAATATACTTTACAATTATTTTCATCACAGAATTTCCTTTTGACAATAATGTTCATCATGAAAGACTCAATTCATCTCCATATTTCGATTAAGTTATTAATTAATCCTTCTTGTGCTCTAGAATCTAGCCTCTGTGCGACCACAATTAGCTCCCACCAATATATCATTAATGTTTTTTTTTTTTACCTGTAAGTTAATTTATTTACATAAAATATTCTCTTTCCTATTTCCAAGCTTTAATGTAAGGTTGAGACATTTATAATATGTTTGGGTTTAAGAGAATGGAGGAGAGTAGAGGGGAAAGGGGATTGGAAGGATGTTATATCCTTTCATTCTCCCTCCCCTTTCTTTCACTTTTTTGGATAAATAAATTAATTAAAAGAAAAAATAAAACAAAAATTTTTTTTCCCTCTCCTCTTCTTTACTTCTTTTGATATCTAAAATAGAATAATTTTCTTCCCACTTATCAATTCCCTTTAAGCCAAATATACTATTAAACATTTTAAGATAAATGGTCATGAATTAAAGCTAAAAATGTCACCACGTTGATAAAATTTTGATTATTGGTCTACCACTATTTTCATTCAATTTTAGTTGTCCTATTTTGATTGTTTGACTTTTTATACATATGAAAACTTAGCATAGTATATCAAAAAATAATTGTTTATCAAATAAAACTACTCAATAAGAATTACATGTGAAGAAAAAAAAAAGAAATTTTTAATTGTCATTCATATGTTTTGCCAAATTTTCATATAAATTAATGTTTAAAAAATCAAAGAGTTAAATTAAGACAACTAAAATTTAAGAGAGGAAGTAGTTAGTTAAATCATGTAGATTTTACCTAGAAAAGAAACATATCCTTGGAATGAAAAGAATCAAAAGATAATATAACAATTAACACAAATGGAGATAGAGATAAGGGCTAAATTTTTAAGATATGAGTATATTAATGTTTTTTTAATCGAAAAGACATTTTTTTCACATATATCTAGTTTAATTATTAAAATTATAATATAAATATAATTAATTGAATCAATTTTTATATTTTGTATATATAATTA